ATGTAATATTTTCCATATAACTATTACAAAAACACAAAATAAGTATAAATAAGTATTTATATTTGTGTACAAGCTGTTTAGATTGTCAGAAAGCCTGTGTTTTTAGGGTTATTAACGGAGTTCATGTACTCAGACCGGTAATATTTGGGGTCACAAGTTTTTGCCATGAATAGTTTTTGGGTCAGAAGATAAAAAGTTTGGGAACCACTGCTTTAAACTAGTGGATAAACCAGTGTTTTTCAAGGCACACTGTCCTGCATGTTTTAGATGTTTCCCAGCTTCAACACAGTTGATTTCAATTGATTACTGATTAGCAGGCTTTTGTTGAACTGCAATCATCTCAATCAGGTGTGTAAGAGCAGGGAACTCTCTAAAAGCAGGGCAGTGTGCCTTGAGGACCAGGGTTGGAAAACAATGGGGGAAAGTGTCATTGAGTCTTGGTTTATAGATAAAGGTTTTTTTTTTTTTTTTTTTTTTTTGCTTTTGACCTACAAAGTAAAGTATATAAAAGACCTCTGACCCCAGCTACATTGCATAGAAGTACATTATCATTTCTAATAAGCAACTTCAAGAAAAGCCATGTCAAACATTCAATATGTTTGTATACATTTATGCCCATTGTTTTTCTATATAACAGTTAACGCTAAACATGCTATTGACAACTGTTTTAAAAGCTCATGCTATTTCTATAGATTTCCTCAAAATGTCCACATTGATTTCACTACTCTACTAATCTAAAGATGTGTTCCATTCTTTTTGGCACAAAAGCTCGTTTGGGATTAGTTTAAAGCTAATAAACCTTTGTTTTCATCCTGTTAAATTTTGTAACCCGTTTATTTCTAGATACAATAAAATCTCATATTTCTCCACGATCAATGATTCACAAATCGAAGGTTGAAAAGACTGTTCAAAGTCCGCAAAAAATAAAAAACAGACGAGACAGTCAAGTTTCCGAGGAGTACTTAAACGCCGCAAAGCTTTCGGCGTACACGAGCATGACGTCATGCGCTCGGACCGAGCCGTGACCTGCTGCTCCAGCTAAGCTAGGGATCCACACACGAACAGATGTTCTGCACAAACTAGAGTCAAAACAAAACCCGCCTCTTTTGTTGACTATTTTTTATTTTTATTTGCTGAAACGGCGGCAAAAGAAGAAAAGCAATGTGGCGGCAGCGGTTTCAATGAGCGGACGTCACTCACGTTTGAATTTTAAGTTGTTTTTTTTTTTTTCGCAGCTAGCAGCAGCTGGCTAAAAGACAGGCTCGCGAAAGTGAAACCAAGAGCAGAAGCTTCATGCTAAAAAGATTTGAGAGTTTAACTTCAGTCAAACTAAAACCAGGTAAGTTTGTTTATCGTTTTACCGTTTTGTTCCACAGATAAAAAATCAAATATCACGCTGTCACTTATCTGGCTGCTTCCGTGTTGTGTTGATATTTTTATCAATGGGGCGTTGCTTGTTTAGCAGATCATGTTAACCATGCGTTTAAATAGATGTAAAATGATATTTATTTATTGTAGGTGAATGTCTCCTTGGCAAACATACATGACATGTATGTACAGATATATCTGTGTGTATCTTTATGTGGTTGTATATGTGTGTGGATATACTTATGCATATACTTAGCACAAAAAGTAAGGATTTTTAGTGTTTGGTTCAATATTTCTTGGCAATAAATCTTATACCGGATACCTGGTTGGCCAATTTTTTATGTGTGCAATCCACATACTCACAAATGCATGTTCCTTACAAATGTGGCAATTAACAGGCTTTAAGATTAATTCCTAAAATGCATTGTTGCAACACAAATTTCCTTTKTTTTTGTGCTAAGTTTYTATTTAAATATACACACTATATAAAACGGCAATCAAACWTTAGGATGTTTGTAAGTTGGTTGTTTTTGGGCACTAAATATACAATTTTAGACTTTATATGGAGTTTTAACATTGATTATCTTGGTTTATGCAAATGCATGCTCCAGTTTGTCTTCATGATGTGGTAATCAGTATATAGGCTGCTTTAAATCTGTTTTTCCAGTTTACCCAAGATATTCTTACAGGTTTTGTGTGAAAATCCTTACAATGAAACTGTGATGACTTCTGAAATTGTTCATTTAAATTTCTGTATACCTGTGCAATTAATCAAGAAATMGGGGGGGGGGGGGGGGCATTGGTGGACAAACTCAGATATTCAGGGAATTGTTTTTTGGTTGAGCACACTCCTGAAGCAGCCTGAGACGGTGACGCTCCTACAGACCAGTGTGTTACGTAGTAGGAGATGCCTCTATCACTCTGAAGCAGGTTAGGCTTGTTATCATCAGATTTATGACTTTCTTTTTGATCTTTTTGCAGTGCAACCTTTGTAATRTTTTATCTATTTAATTTCTATATCATAAAAGTTTTCCAGAAAGCTGCACAGCTGTGTAGTCATCAGCTCTCTGCATTGCGTGAAAAATACTTTTGCTTTCATTTTTAATCTTGTCTGTTTGAGGAACGAGAAGCAACGTACTCCATCAGTTAAAGTACAGCCGCCACCTGAAAGATGTTAATCTTGTTCTGTGTTTTCCTAACTGGTAAAGTCAGGTGGTAAATATTTTTCACCACACGGTATTGTTTTTGTCTTAAATAATACCCATTTGTTGTATCACCTGTTGCGTCACGAAGCCGTTTGTTAAATCCTCCGCTCACTGTCACTGACATTGAATTATCTGCCTTTAGGTCTCTAAACTCAAGAAGCATGGTTATGTCCTGAGCTGCAGTTTGAAGTTCTTCATCATGGATTCCTAATCATCTTCYAACATCAGCGGCTCCTCCATTCGCTTCTGGTCCTTTTTAGACCAGAAGGGTCCCCGCCCCCCCAGCCCCCATCCAGCCTGTCTGACCTCCCGAGCAGTGGGAGCAAACAGATGGGGGCCTGTTGCTGTAAAGCTGAAATTCCCTGTGGCAGTGTGGAGGAAACGAGTGTTTTACTGAAAGATGACTCAAAAACCACATGCATTAGTGAAAAAGTAGCGGTCGACACTTGCGGCCACGAGGGAGATGATGAGATGAGGTAAGATTCAGTGTCTGGGGAAAACAAGCAAGGGAAAAAAAATAATCAAACTCTGATCCAAAGATTGTTGTTTTGATTGAAATGCTTTAATTTTTTTTTAAATGTTTGATTCATAACTCACGTCTAAGATGTAAATATGACAACTTTAAGGTTTGTCTTGTTTTGAAGTGCGTAAAGAAAATACCGTTCCAGTCAGAACTAAAGTTCACGCCCACTCTTCACAGACAGGAATGTCACAGGTTCAGATATATATATACACACTACATACATGCCCACTAATATTCAAGTTTCCACTAATGTGCACCTCGACCACACACTTTCAAGTTTTTAACAAACTTCTTGATTAATTCTGGCTGATATTAGGTCACTCTATTTAGTAGAATTTGGTCGAGTCCATTTAATCAGGTTGATTTATTTTGGAACAAACACGACTTTTTCCACAAATTTTCAACAGGGTTGAGACGCCATCATGCTTGACAGTTGCTGACGTGCTTTTAGGTTTGAAAGTCTCACCTTGACTCGTCTGAACTTACTTCTTGTCATTGTGGCCCAATAGCTCCGTCTTTGTCTCAGCTAGCATGAAAAAGTTTTAAGCTTGTTGTGGGTAGCTTCGAACTTCTGTCCAGCTCGATGAATTGAGTGAATTAGAGAAAGTTCTTGTTTTAAAATCATTGAGGTTGTATGTTGTGCATCCATTCCAGCCTGTGAAAAAGAACGTTTGAAATAATTAAAAGGCCRAAAATAATATGACGCACTCTTTCTGACTGCAGCTTGTGCAGTTGTTAAAGTCCCTCTGAAGAGCTGACCAACGGTTGAAGGATCTGAATAAATAAATCACTAATCAAATGTTCCCCTCCGTGGTTTCTGTGGGATGTCTTTCACTACTCAAATCACTTTAACTTTACTTTGAAGTCACGAATGAGARGGGGGAACTTCCACCTGTTGTTAAAAGATGTTTGTGTGTGAGAAACATTCCAGTCATTTCATGCTCTGCCATGAGATGATAAGAAATGACGTTGCTCTTGACCAAAATAGTTTCTGTTTCCTCTCCACCTGCAGCGCAGGGAGAATCCTAAAACATTTTTCTTATGCAGCTCATCTGTTTGTGTTCAGGAAAAGGTCTGAGCTGTGTTTTTGTTGTGTTCTGTGGCATTGCTCACTCTGTTATGTCTTTCAGGGGAGTCGATGAGAAGGAGGCGGTAAAGCAGCTTGAGAAGAACGACAAGGAGTCCAGTAATGCTCAGGAAAATGGACTTTTGCAAAAAGAAAACACTCCGCTTTCTTCAAGCAACGAGTCTAAACTCGAAGACGCCACCGCGGCGCGACCTGAACACAGGGACGCCTCTCCTGCTGATGCTGGAAATGTTGTAAACTTGCTGGAGAACATCGGCACCGCTCACAGCCCGGACGTTGTCGCCTCAATYTCAAAACCGGAACAACGTGAAGAAGAAGATCCAGCCCCGGTGCAGGAAAAAGTTCCACTGTTAACTAAAGCGGTCTGCCGTGACAGCCCCTCCCATCCTGAGACAAACATATCAACAGAGCACATCCCAGCGAGCGTTTCTCCTGCTGACGTTCAGGAAGGATGCTCCAAAGATGCCAAACCATCAGGAGAGTTTACACAAAACACACAAGCGTTATCTGTGCCAAACGCTGAACTCACTGCAGCAGGTCAGGAGACGTCTGACTCTGAGGTCACTTTGGAGGCTAACACCGAGGCTCCCAGCTGGTAAGTTACATGACAACATGAAAGAATTTATTAGGATTAATGACAGTTTGCATTTTTATGTTTTTAATGTAAAATCTGATTTGAATAAATTGTTGCAAAAAAAAAAAGCTTAATTTGAGTGTTTGTTGAGTCAGCAAAAAAAAACTACATCTCCTAAAATCATGCTTTGAATGCAACAGGATTATTTCATCTAAATTCAGTTSTCTGACAGATTTCTTTGCATTAATCATCAATATGAAAGTGGTTTCACTGAGAACGCTGCATAAAGGGCTGTAAGAGTGGACACAGCTGACTTTCTTTCAGTGAATCCCTTCTTTCTTCTCACTCACTATATGTACAGTATTTTATCATTCTGACTGGGAGTTTACTATCTGTCCTGCTGCATGTGRTGACTTCCAGTTGAAAATTATGTTACAAAATACACGTTATGAGTTTGTAATCATGAGAAATTCAGCACAGCGTAAAGAATGTTGTAATGCAGTTCCTTCATGTTGCTTTAGTTAACAGGTTTACGCATTTTAGGATTGATTAAAAAATAAAAATTAAAGAAACATTTCTTGAAAAAATGCATATTGACCTCTACTTTTTACGCCTAAGTTTTTAACGTAAGATTGCACATGATCTGTCAGCGCTTATAGTATCTGATAGGGATGACTCTCAGCTGCTACCACACCTGTTTTTGAGCTCAATATCTGCAAAACGTACAAAGTTATAGCCAGTTTGGTCTTTATGTAAATTTCATTTAAACCTGTTTAGAGACTTATGAGGTATTTTGCTAACAGAGATGCAGAGACAGCCAGTTATGGTCACCTGCCTTTCATGTTGGCTGAGTAGTAGTAGTAGCAGTAGCAGTAGCAGTAGTAGTAGTAGCAGTAGTAAGATTATTGAACTGATTAAGATGAGTTCAGGTTAATAAGTGATGTGTTAGCAAGGTCATCAACAAGAAAAAGTAGCACACCAAAGAACTAATTAATTTTTCTGATCTGAGTTACCTGATTAAACAAATCAAATTAAACAGAAAATAATGTTTCTTTGAGTCTGAATTAAGTAAAACCATTAAAGAGCCATTAAACTAAGCATGAATTATTTTYTAAGCCTCAGGAAATGGCATGATGTATGGTTACTGGTGAGCTGCACTATTAAATTTACAATATTTCTACAGTTTTTACCAGGCTTTTTGGATGGTACAATATTAACTTTGTTGCATTTATCGCCCCTTTAATCAATACTTCCCCTAAACATGTCTAAAATTAGATCAGGGCCTGTTAGCTAATGCATACTTAAATCCCAGTTTTAAAAAGTCTGTTCTGATTACTGTGTTTGCAGTGTTGTGACAGTGGTTTTGGACGATAGTGGCTCTCCATGCAAGGAGGCTGGTTCTGTGGAGAAAAAAAGCTCCCAGTCTTTTTCTGCTGGGCTGGAGCCCACAGGGCTTGACCTCAGTAAGGAGAAACTGGACTCTGAGATCTCTGACAAAAACACAAAAGACTCATCTTCAGAAGATGTCGAAAGCAGGTCAGCAGGTTCTGTTTTTAGTCAAACATAATGTTTGTTTGCATAAACTTTGTTTTGGATTGTACCGTTGTAGCCACTAGGGGGCGTAAATGATCTCTAAGACTGTCTAACCCTCATTTACATTATTTTTCTGCAATGTTTGCAGGAAAACTATATACATTTCTTCATATAAAATGTAATTTTATATTTTATAATTTTAGGTAGTAATACATATAAGTGTTAGATTGAGGTATCAGTAATAAACTGGGATGTGTAACTAAACATGAAATGTAACTTTGTTTTGAAGCTCAAAYGAGACAGATGAAAAGCCAAATCCTGATGGATCAGGTGCTGCAGACTTGGAAGTTGTAACTTCCTCAGACAAAACCAAACAGGATGCTGAGGAGGAAACTGTGCTGAAAAAGCAAGACAAAGATCTTCCTGAAATGAAGGAGGAGGATGGAGTGGAGAAGGGAGAGGAGGCTGCTCCAACAGAAGCTGGGACTCCTCAGCCTGAGGAGGATCCTGAGATCCAGGTGGTGACTGAAGACAAAGACAGGCTGGCCTCAGATGTTGGAACCAGTGAAGGAGCTGCTGCTGGAGAAAAAAACAGTCTGGGGAACAGGTTTGTACAGAGCTTTTTTTAGTTATTTTATAGTTCTGAATTGGATTTCAGCATCACATGCCTTGTAGTTGCTTTTTATCCACTGAGGGTTACGCTGGAGGAGGTGATGTCTTACTGTGTTTAGAACCTGCAGGGCACAAATCAGGAAGGAAACATTCATCTCCCGGGATGTTATTAAGAGAATAAAGTCAAAATGACAGATTTTATTAAACAGAAATGTGTGGAAATACACAATACATGTATTTTTGTTTCATTGTTTGAACAATAAGATCTTTTTTAGAAAGTCGAGTTTTAAAAATGTGGGTTTTGTTTCCTCTTAGTGAAGAAGACCTGTACAGAGGAGCTGAGGAGCTGTCTCCGTCACAAAGTAATAAACAGCAGGGCCATTCATTTAAAAAACGAATATTTTCAGCTCAGGTTTGTTACAAAAATATGAACTGTAACCTTTTTGTTTTGTYTATCTCAGCTTTGAAGGTGGAGGACAGATGCAGTTTGTCTCCAGCTGTGGACATTCTGTCTTACAGCGAGAGAGAGTGGAAAGGAAATACAGCCAAAAGTGCACTCATTAAAAAGGTTGGTGCTTTTTGGAAGTCGTGGTTTGAGATCAAAGCCAGTTTGTTTGTTTGTTTGTTTGTTTGTTTTGCTGATATCTGAGAGGCTTCCTGTGGTGTTTGTGTGCTGCTGCAGGGTTATAAAGAGATGTCCCAAAAGTTTGACAGTGTGAGGAGAGTAAGGGGGGACAACTACTGCGCCCTCAGAGCCACGCTGTTCCAGGTGTTGTCCCAAAGCATCTCTGTGCCGCTGTGGCTGCAAGAGGACAGTGTTCTCATGGTAAATGTTTACTTTATTATTTTTTATTTATTATAAAGTTTATTCATTTAAAACAAAACAACATAAATTCAACATATAACAAAAAAACAAATCAAATTACATGAAAAGTAGCAGAAGAAGAAAATAATCTTATGATTTCTGGCCCTTTTTCTTAAATAAATTCAATCAAAAAAAATTCTTCAATTTACAACGTACAAAAAAAATTTAAGAAAAAACAATAAAGGTTTAATTCCTTCTTGAGTAACAATTCATGCCTTATACTCATACCTTAATCATTTTTCTTAATTAGATGACTTTAGATGAGAGCTGACCAACAACGAAGCAACATGTTCTGTTTCACTGATAATGAGTGAAGCGGTTTGTCAGCACTTTGGTTTAAATCATTCTTTACGTAACAAGTTTGACAGTATAATGTTAAACTGTATAGCAATTCCAAATTTAAGAAAATTAAAATGACTTATTTTTGTCAGTGGTCACAGGGTTTTGTTTTATAAACAGTTCAACTGGAATTTACTCTCAGTTTCTGTCTTAAAGCCACCCAGGCTATAATTAACAACAGTGTTGTTACCAGGAGTAACACAGGAAGTTTAATATGATAATTAGGTCCAACATAAAGTAAAATGTTTGTTAATGCTCCAGACGTTTACTCAGTTGTTCACCCAGTAAATCTTTTAACTTTTGGTTTGTTTACAGCTGCCAGAGCAGCTGGAGGCTCAGGAAGGACTGCTAAGCCAGTGGAGATTTCCTGGAGTGTGTGTGCAGCAGGACGGCTCAGGAGATGCCACTCAGCAGCTGAAGGGCTACATAGAGCTTCTCCAAATGACGGTACGAACTGCAGATCTACTCAGAAAGGCATCACAAGGAGAGAGAGAGAGAGAAAAAAAGCAATTTAAGCACAACATGAGTAAATCACAAACTATTTTAAACACAGGGGTACCAATCTCCGTCCACAGAGCTTTCAGTTTGATTGTTGCCACATGTTGAACAGTGGTTGCTTCCTAAAAGCTGCAAGGCTTTTCTTTTTCAGCGAGTCAAAACAAACCCTGGTAATTCTCAGGGTTTAGGAGAAGATTTGAGGGATAGAAGAACTTTTAAAAATATATACATATATATTTTACTGTAACGGTGTGAGGTCCACAGCAGATTATATCACTGCTAGCATCTAATTGTAGGTTAAAGTTTTATGTTTACTGCAGCTTTACTGATTTAAATGTTTGCATGTATACACAGAAAACAATACAGTACAGCAGCTTTTTAGTTAAAGCTTTGATTTAACTGGATGTAAAGTTTTTATAAAGAAATAAGCCAATAAAWGGCCTTTTTTAAAAACTAGATATCACTAAAATCTACAGTTAGAAGTTAGATGTGTAACTGATGACAGATGATGACTTCAGGAGTTGTTGTTTGAATGTTTTTTGTATTTGTTTCTGGTCCGTCTCCAGTGGCGGGCAGCAGTGGACTGTACCTCGCCTACAGAGCGACAGCAACTCTGCGAGCGGGTGTTTCAGGGCGGAGAGGAGGAGCTCGGGCTCCTGGAGGCGCTCAAGCTGCTGATGCTGGGCCGAGCGGTGGAGCTGCACAGCTGCATGCTGGGAGGTGGAGACGTCCCTCTYTTCTGCTGGCTGCTGTTTGCTCGGGACTCATCCGACCGTCCGCGTTCTTTTCTCTGCAACCACCTCAGGCACGTGGGCCTCAGCGCCGGGCTGGAGCAGGTAGGAGGAACAAAGCCTTGTTTCTTTCTTTCTTTTTTTGGTTTGCTCTGCAACTTCATAGTAAACAAAGGTTGCTGAGGAAAAGAAATGCTGCGAGTTTTTCATCATTTAAATAAATTTGACTAAACAAAAATYGCGAATGAGCTGTTGTACCTGTTTCAGGAAGGACCAGGGCCCAGAGGGCTGTAATTATTTGCAGCACATTATTAAAGCTTTTYCAAATAAAGACCCACCACCTGTAGTCCCTGAGAGCAGCTGATTAAACATTAAACACAATTTCAAGCTGCTTTTGCATTTGTTTGTTTGCTGTTTTGTTCAGGTTGAGATGTTCCTGCTGGGCTACGCCCTCCAGCACACCATTCAAGTTTACAGACTGTACAAGGCCAACACGGAGGAGTTCATCACCTTCTACCCAGACGACCATAAGAGCGACTGGCCGTCCGTGTGTCTCGTCACAGAGGACGATCGCCACTACAACGTTCCAGTGGTGGATGCTGCAGAGCCCGACAAGGAGCTCACCTCCAGCTGATTGATGCTGTTTGACAAACACCCCTCAGGTCGATCCACACCATAGATTTATGCCAACTGAAGGAGGAGTTTTGGGAAATATGCTTCCACAAAGTTAGATGTGTAGATAGTGCCATCCTCATCTTTACAGCTTGGATCAAGCTCAGCTTAAAGTTATCGTTTGGTTGGTTTTTTTTTTTTTTTTTAAAGTGGAGTTGTTATCAGTAGTTTGTACCTTACCTAGACAGATTAGACAGTTTTAGTAAGCTGAATTTGGAAAAGCTGGAATAAAATCTTACATAAAATCAGGCTAACATATATTCAGACTTGAGCTTCGTTTTTAGTGGATTTTAGTTCTCTAAAACAAGTATAACATGTCTCGATAGTGAGCTTGTTCTGGGGAGATAAGAGGGTATCTATAAGAGCCAGAACATACAGAGGAAGAACTGTTGGTTAGAGGCTGATGGAGACAGTTCCAGGCTGTTAAGAACAAGGTCTGAGTGAAATCAGTAGTGTGTTAGCCATAAATTATGAAGGTTTCTGCCAATATTTGAAGAAATCTACATGTTGAGTAGGATTTTAACTTTGTTAAAACAGAGTTGACAGAAGTGAGTTTTTAATGGCTGCTGTATTGTTCACTAGCAAAAGCAGCCTTGATCTGAGTAGATTCCAGAAATTCACGTTTAAGACTCGTCTACTACAGGTAAGATACTAACTACTGATATGTCATAGAACCCACTTAAAAGAAAGCAAAGCATACATAGCTTTTAAATCTTAAAAAAATTTTAAGCTCATACATTAGTTTGGTACATCTTGCTTCTTTATTTTGTTCAAAATCAAGTTAAATGTTTAGTTTTTTGAATGAAAGGGTTCACTGATGTCAGTTTTCACAGATTTTTCCTGCAGATTTACAGTCATCAGTATTTGTCTTCAACAGCAGCTGCAAGCAGATTTTAATTTTACCTGCCATAAAATTTTGTGTTGATGCCTGTACTCTAGAGCTTTTAGACTTTTTTGTTGAATGACAAAGAAAATCCTCATCAACCACAGACATGCCGGTTCACAAGAAAATCTGAGATTGGTCAACAGGGAGCATGATTGGTTTTTTTTTWWTMMWWTTTTTTTTCAATGGATTCATGAATCATATCAAGAAAAGGGAAATGAAACATTCGGTGATAAGTGTTTTTTATTCTTAGAACTAGTTGTTATAAAACTGAAAAGAAGTGATCCGTGCATGTTCTTGTATTTTGGTTTGATTGTCTTTGGAAACCTTTTATTTTTTCATATTAACAGCATTATTTATTTTTTTAGCGTCATACATCTAACTAAAGCAAACAGACACAAATACCCCCAAACTGTCAACTTGATACATAAAAAAAATATGCTGATTTGAGACCCGGTACAAGATGTTTTTTCAGCGCTCTTGTATTCACTGTACTGTACAGAATTTTTTATCTAAGCATTTGTATATATTTGATTTTCAGAATTCAATGTGTGCTTCAGAAGAGGGGTGAAAAAAATACATATTTCCTCAACTTTTGTTTTACACTTCTCTTAAAAAAAACYAAGCAGCTAAAAGCAACAACAGTGATGAAATGCATCATGTTTACACTGGAATTTTGAGTAATTTATTGTTTTGATGGTTAAATGTATTTGAACAAATAGACGTGTAAGTAGAATGGGTGAATTTAATCAATGAAGGGTTCAATGATTCATCAGGTTGAGCAGTAGCTTTCACCTGATGATCAGAAGACTTGGAGGATTAATGGTAGCCTCTGTGTCAGAGGTCTGTATGTTGTGTTTACTGCTGTCTGTTCAACTCAGTAACATGCTGCCTTTAACCAAGCTGTTTGGAGCAGGGGGAAAATGTGCCAACGTTGCTGCAAAAACTGACAGAAGCTTGGCCCATCAGCCACACAAGTTAGAAAAAAAAAGGCTGGCTTGGTTCTCCATGTTGCCTTAGAAATGATGCACAATAAGAATGAATGTTTTTTGTTTGTTCTGAGGTTTTATCTCGCTCTAATTCAGAGCAGGTACAGGTGATAACATTTACTACGCCATTTGCAGGAAAGTTCTTGCACCAGTTTTCAATGGCATTTGAATAAAAGGACATTTTTGAAACAGTTTTGACTTTTTTATTCCCCTGAACATCCACGCTACGTCTGCAARTGACACTTTGCTCACATTTCAGATATTTTCCTTTTGAATTAATTATAAACAGGAGCAAGTGAAGAGCCACACCTTAATATTAAAGCAATTTATTTGCAAATAAGAATGCCTATACAGTATATACAGTACATACGACAGTCTGAAAACTACAGGGGGATAATGCTTGGCAAGACAAAAAGTAGCTCTAACTCCCAAACTGCATTGAAAGTGAACAATCATAACTGTAGTCTAACACGCAGTGGTTGGTATGAGGAGGGATTCCCAACCCCCTCGGGCACTTAAATATACACAACAAGAATCTGTACATTGTATGCCAAATACGATTGCACAACCCAACAAGATTTTACATCTCCTGTGATCCAGACGATCTTACAGTTTAATCTTTAGTAAAGTAACATGAAATGATCTCTGTATTTTGGCAACTCTATCGCATGATTTGTCATTTGCTGCTGAGGAGGAGGAGTTCTCGTGTTTTTTTGTTTTGCTTTTGTTTTTTGCCTCGTTTATTGGTAAAACACGAGAAAGTTTGTCACAGCCACAGACATGATGATGCTGCTGAAGAGAAAAGGTCTGAAGAAGTTACAATTTACACTGACGCATCAACAATCAGAGGTGCATGGCTTTCTGTACAATGTGCGTTTTAATAGAACCTCCGACACCAAGCTCCAGTCCAGGACTCGAACACGGCCTCCTCTTCAGGACAAAACTCCACCCTGAMGTCTCTTCTCCCACAGCTCACTCATGCTCTTCATCCTCCTGTAGCTCCTCGATGGCGTCCATCTGGTTCCTGGAGTACGCCTCGCTCATCGGGGCAGAGTCCTCGGCCTCCACCACCAACTCGTTGGACATCTCGTTTTTCTGCAAATGTTACACAAACGAATAAAAAAAAAAAACAATGTTTCCAGGGAAAAGATAAAACTACCAGGAACAAGATAGTCACTCCACCACAAATATGGTTGTGCTAATCTAATAAGTGATAAGTTTACAAATGCTATCAAGTTTTTATGATGATGCAATAAACTGGAACATGCAGAGCCTCTGAAAACTATTTTCTAGGTCAAGTTCTGCTGTAATCATACTTTTTATTTAGGTCTTAACGGAAAATCACATGTTTAAAATCCCACCAAAGACATAATTATGTGTTTTACTTTCTTAGTGGAGTATGATGTATCACACCTTGGTAAAATACCCACTTCTTGGGAAATTATATATGTGAGCCTAAAATGTCAAACTGCTGTTTATAAGAAAAACATGCATATAGATGTTTTCTGTACAGTGTCAACATTTTAGCTTAAGTAATGAAAACAAATCTCACTCTCAAAACATCACCTGCTTACCAGTCTTTTGTTATTTAATGCCTGTTCCTGCATGTTTTCTTTAATGATAGAAACTCCCKTTCGTGCCAAGTGGCACCATAATAATTAGTGAAGGAAACGCCTGACTGAATAGATCTGTAAAAAAGTACAAAACGTGTTGTTTGTTCTCACGTTTACAATGATCTCAGCCCAGGTTTTCTCACCTGTTTTCGATAAACATAGCAGCCTGCTATGGCAACCATCACCGACTCCCCGACGAAACCTGCTAGGAGGGAACCAACTCCAAGTGTGGCCCCGTGAACCCTAAAACACACAGAATCATGTTCTCTAATGARTTTAATCATTTCACAGCGGGGAGGGTGAATTCTTCAGATCACTGAGTTCAACAGCAGCGAGTCTGAGTGACAGAGCTGATCTGACTTACCCCATATAAGGCAGCACAACCAGACTGATAATGAGGACAACGATACGGAGCACCGAGCTGGGCGCCAGCACAAAGGTCTTTTTCAGGGTCATGAGCCATCCCGTCAAATGAGCTCGAATAGTGACTGCAAACACACACAGGAACCAAATGATGCAAGTTTATAAAGCTCCAGCAGAAGGAAAAACATAAATGTGTGTGTAAATCCAGTAGTGGAGTTAGACTTTTATGCAAGGGAGGGGGGCTGAAATCTGTGTGGGGTTCCACAAGGTTCTGTACTGGGACCAAAGTTGTTTCTTCTATATATTAATGACTTGGTGAATGTGTCGGGGTTGTTTAGATGTGCTTTATTTGCAGWTGACACCACATTTTTATGCTTGGGTAAGAACGTAGAACAGATGTTGGAAATGATGGAAATAGAATTTGTAAAAAGTTACAAAATTGGTTTAAACATTATGTTATCATTAAATTTGGATAAAACAAATTACATGATATTAAGTAATAGAAAGAAAACAACTGATGTTCCGTTTAGAGTGGATGTGTTGATATGATGGAGTTTGGAGAGGCCATGGAAAAAGACTTCCTTACGGCTTCGAGGCGATTCTGGTCCGCCATCCGGCGTCTCAGTGGGGGAAAGCGGTTCGCCATCAACACTTTTTATGGTGGGGATGGTGCGCTGCTGACCTCAACTCGGGACATTGTGGGTCGGTGGGCGGAATACTTGGGAYGACCTCCTCAATCCTACAGACACGTCTTCCCATGAGGAAGCAGAGCCCGAGGACCCTGGGTCGGACTCTCCAATCTCCGGTGCTGAGGTCATCGAGGTGGTTAAAAAGCTTGTCGGTGGCAAGGCGCTGGGGGTGGATGAGATTCGCCTGGAGTTCCTTAAAGCTCTGGATGTTGTGGGGTTGTATTGGTTGAKGCGACTCTATAATATCGCGTGGACATCGGGGGCAGTTCCCCTGGATTGGCAGACCGGGGTGGTGGTCCCCCTTTTTAAAAAGGGTCGGGGAGGAGGTCCTACCCCAAGTGGAGGAGTTCAAGTATCTTGGGGTCTTGTTCACGAATGAGGGAAGAATGGAGCGGGAGATCGATAGGCGGATTGGTGCTGCGTCTGCAGTGATGCTAGCACTGTAATGGTCTATCGTGTTGAAGCGAGAGCTGAGCCAGAAGGCGAAGCTCTCAGTTTACCAGTCGGTCTACGTTCCTACCCTCATCTATGGTCTCGATCTTTGGGTAGTGACRGAAAGAATGAGATRGTGGATAAAAGCGGCCAAAATGAGTTTCCTTCGCAGGGTGTCTGGGTGTCTGTGCCCCCCTGTGTAAATCTCACCTGGCAGCACAAAGAAGGAGAAAATCTTGAGCGGGACCACACACAGCTGAGCGAAAGCATGCTCCACTCCGATCACACTGACCAGAATCTTCTCCGACACGTGAGGGGTCCAGAACAGTATGAAGCAAAACTGGATGTGAAATAAAAATAAATAAAATAAAATAAAAATCTAATTAATCATTTTCACATTTCATTCAAACAAAAAAAGAGAGATTCATTAGATTTTATTATAGTTTCAGACTGAATGTGGGCCTTTGAAGTCGAAACAAAACAGGTGTGTTTCAAAATACATAACGGTGTTGAAGAAGCCAGGTCATTAAAGGAGGATCAAACAGATGTGCAAACAGACTGATAAGAACATTAATGCATTAATTTGTCTGAAATTATCAACTAAAAAATTTGTAGTTTTCAATAAACCTCTCACATCTACTGAAGAATTTAATGAGGTTATACAAAATGATTTGTGATAAATAAGTCTACTGTAACATGTGGAAACTAAGACAGAGTTCAAGGTGATGGAAACAAAAGTAGATAAGATATGACACGATACAAACATTTCAAAAATTTCACTGCCTTCATCAGAGGAGGAGGTGTTTCAAAGTTTCTAATGTGGTTTCCATTTGAGCCAAACATGGGTAAGAGTTACTTTAAGATGATGTAGCTCCAAATCATCCAACCAGCTATCATTACTTTGATGTTTTGGTGATAACAAGCACATGTGACTAATTGGAATGGCTCAAGCAAAGTCACTGTCTCCCATGACTCAGCTGTGACAAATCTAAACAAGGTGAYGGATTTAAAAACGACATCCTTGACAAAACATCTCCACTCATAAAAACTGGAGTATACGTTTCAGATTCATCACTCCCCCAGGTAAATACATCCCACTGCTGTTTTTCTTCATCCCAAAATATCTGGAGCGCGTTCATATTCAGAGCAAGTCTCGACAAGAAAGACTGTTTGGCACTCGCACCAACAGTTCTGTTGTGCAGTGTTGAACACACGGAACCWTGTTTACAGTCTTCCACATCTGCTGTGCCATTATCCTCCCTCTATTAAGAGAAGCCAACCTTTGCCACAAACTTCCCGTTTGTCTTATAAAAGCTCAGACAGTGAACTGGAGCAAAGTCTTCACTTTGAGATGCTGCAGCAGGGACTTAATGTCACATAAATGCACAAACGTGCAACACTTGGAAGAAAAGTGGAGTTTTTTTGTGAAGATCACTTGGCTCTTAAGTTAAGTGGTAATGTGCAACTTAAAACCTAAACCAGGATGAAAAACTACTCTTAACAAAGCTGCAGGCTGCAGTAAGAATACACCATGACTCAACTTTAAAATACCATCAGTTTGAATTTCACTTAAGAAATCACTCAGATGCATGTGAGAGACATGTTAATAGAAGTGAAACGACTAGTTTCTGTACAGATCTGGACTGGTTGAGTCAGTCTTGTTTGTCTGTTCTGCAGGTTTAATCGCACAAGAAAAGAAAAAAAACGATGCCAGGCTGTGTGCTTACATAAAATCTGCAGCATGCCACAGAGTTTATAAGCACKTTCATCTTGGGTTGCCTGGAATTTTAACAATTCTCATGAGGAGAAACATCAACAACATCAATAAAGTAACCGAGGTTAGGGAGTTAAAGGTTTCTGCTGTGAAATATGTACATTTGTGCAAGAAACTTATTCAGTCGGGTCGAAAAGATCTTAACAATTAACACGTGGAGCGTGTTGTGAATGACTATCAGCTACAACTTCAACTTTTAGCCTAACATCTGTAAAACTGACAGAATTATAACCATTTTAATTAAAGTGAGCTGGTTCTAAACAAAAATCAGTTGTAGATGTAGCTCCAGTGTTTATTTCCTTCAAATTTTATAAAGTTTATCTAGTTCAAGGGTGTCAAACTCACTTTCAGAGGGCAGAGTTGTAAAGTAACTAAGTACAAATACTTTGATGCTGTACTTAAATAGAAATTTTGGGTATCTGTACTTTACTTGAGTAATTATTTTTCAACCAACTTTTTACTTCTACTTCTTAAATTTTCACAATCTGTACTTTTTTACTTCTTACATTTTTAAAAAGACTAAGTAGAAAGTCATTACTTTTATTTCATTTTTGCTTGTTTTCATTCCAGCTTGTTATTGTAAAAAATAAATACTATCCATWCAAAGTGTGCCTCCTAGATGGAGTGAATTTAACTGTGGTTGAATGAGAAGTATAAATATATAAAATTCTGATACCGTATTAGTTTGTGTATTAGTTTGTACACAAACTAATCATGTCACACTGCAGCAGGACATAATCATTAAAATAAAAAGMACTGTACTTCAGAAGTATTTGTATTTCATGAATTATATTATTACATTTGGCCGCAGCCCTCAGATAGATTTTCATTTTGGGGAAAAGGTTTGGGCAGCCTTGATGTATATAAAAAGAAACAGCTAGACTAGTGCATCCTAAATTAACATAAATTATTTATTTTTATACGACACTCATTTCTGCATTATTTTTCCTAAAAAATATCCTTACAGAAAATCTAACTGCTCATTTTAAATCAACACTTTTACTTTTAATACTTGAGTACAAAAAATATCAGATACTTTAAGACTTTTACTCAAGTAATATTCCTAAAGGAGACTAACTTTTACCAAAGTAATTTTTGGGTAAGATACTTGTACTGTAACTCAAGTATCACTTTGTGGTACTTTATACAACACTGTCAGAGGGCCATGTGAGTGTAATGGTGGCCCTCAAAGAGTCGGCTGTAATTAACGTTGATGTTTCGTGTTTCGCTTTGACTAAACTTTATAAGTAATTGGGTCGCAGAGGCAACAGGTCCAGCGACACTTTCCAGCTCCTCCTGGAAACCCAGGATGCACAATCCCTACAGCAAGTTCTAAACTAAGATCTTGTGTTTAGCTGTTCATTCTCAAGTCTGTGCTGAAGAGGACTCTCAGCTACTACCACAGAAAACTGCAGCTTTATTTAAAGGCCATCTTGTYTCAGATTGACTCCAAAGTTTAGATGAATGCCCAAACATTCACTTGCAGGAAGCATCAAGCGAGACTTGGTGACGTCATGTCCGACGTATTAGCAAAGAGGTTCATCAGGGTTGTGTCCTATCACCACTAATATTCTCTCACTTTGTCAACAACTGCTCCTTCATGGACCCTGCTGTTAGGATTGTTGAATTTGCATACAGCACCATTGTCAACAGACTGATAAAGGACAATGACAAGTCTTTAATCAGAGAGAGGCTGAACACTGTGGACTTTACACAGAAACATAGTCTGCCACATGTGCTGCAGAGCCTTTTTAACAGCTTTCACTGAATCCATACTGTCCACATCCATCAAACTGGTTTAGTGCAGCCACACAGTAAGACAAATACCAGAAGACTCTCATGAACATCTGAACTGATTCTGCTGTAAAATGAACCTCGTTTTATTTATTCTTGTTGCCTTTTATATCTTGTTTTTGTTCTGCACTTTAACTTCTATATTATCTGTGTAAAACAGATACGTACAAAAAGGAGTGTGAGCATCTATCAACAACAAACTCCACGTATGTGCGAGCATACTTGGCCAATAAAAGGGTTCTGTTTACTTTTTTAGAGTTGCATTCGTGACAGTTTTGTAACAAACAAAGAGGTTTATGTATGAACGCAGTCATAAACTTCCTGGTTGCATCTGTGAAAGAAAGCGCTGACCAGTTCTATCTATGTTGACTTTAGCTCCAGGGTAAACTTTCAATGAGTTAAGCCTTACAAAAGTGCTGAAATAAAGTTTTAAAACTACTGACCACTGACTTTGTTTGGAAAAACAAACAAAGACCTGCACGCAGATCTGCAGACCCGAGTACAAAAGTCAACAGTTACAAGAAACTACGTTTCCAAATTTTTGTGAAGATAATGCATTTTATCTGACTTTTAAGACTTTAAACGGCAAGAAAATGGCAAATCCTAATACCTGACACACCAAGTAGTCTGACTTCAACAGTGTTAAACTGTTTTGCTTTTTGTTGGATTAACTTGTTTTAGGTCGAAACTCCTGAGATAAAAAAAAAAAACCTTTTTGGAGGTTTAAACCTAAAAAACCATGTCAGAATCTCAAAGTCAAACTTTTAGTTTGTGCAACGTTCCTGAGCGGCATCAGATATCTGAGCCATCAAATAAATATTTCAGCAGAAAGTGACACAGTGAGCAAAGCTTGAGTTCTTTTAAACAGCATAAATAACTAAAATAAACCCAAGCCGATGCTTGAGAACGTTAGACATTCAACGCCATCTTACCGTCAGTGACAGAAGCAGACACACAAATGTAAACTTTTTAATGTGCGACTTGTTGACGGGGCTGCCGATGTTCAGCTTGTTGCTGGGATTGTTCTGTAGGCAAGAAGAGCTCATTAGTGGCACAAACGCACAAATAAAACCCATTAACTATGAAGCCTCATTTACTTTGTCAAAGGCAGGATAAACCGCTCTGAGTTCAGTTAACCAGCCGTAGGGCATGTGGCCGACAGGGTACGCAGCCGTGAGCACCGCGACGGCCTAAAAATCACAAAAATAAAAAAATAATTAAAAATTGAAATACACACAATAGTAGGAGTCACGTCACCTCTTTAAAAGTCCAACAAAGACAAATGAATAGCAGCAGCCTGTCAACAAACAGCATGACAGCAACATGAGCCTCTCGCTTTTCTATTATTTTAAAAGTTTATTATTGTGCTGTGAGCAACAATAGGCAGTGTCTCAAACAGCAGAGCTGTGAAAAGAAATGTTTTCAGTGAATGTAATCACTCCCGGAGTTTCTCTTGTACGCAATGTACCACCGAAACCAGCAGCAGCTTGTGTCTTCAATGACTCTCAGAACATTCTGGTAAAAGGGGGGGGGATCTTTGTACGTCAGAGAACACCAGTGGTGGGGACAGTATCATCTTCTATTTCATCTGTAAGAACTAGAATGGAAAATTACTCAATTGGATTTACATCACTTTAGGATATGACGCATCTTTAACGACTAGATGAGATTTTTTTTTTTTTTTTTTTTTTGGGGGGGGGGGGGGGGGGGGGGGGGGGGGTCTTAAAAAAGCAGGATGATAAGAACAAAATTCCTGAAGCACCCACCTCTGTGGCATCAGTTGTCCCCTTGAGGTCGCGGGACACAAAGAGGTTGACGATGGGTCGGCTGATGCGCTGAGTGGCCAAGATGAGAGCCAAAGGCCACCAGAAAGTCAGCATCTTTTTGATGGTGGCGTCGCCCTGCAAGGATCAATCAGTTATACAGTCGAGTTGTTTTACTGCTTTGTTTTTAAACTCGTCTCATTTTTCCCCACATGAGCTGCTGTCAGACGGCTGATTCCATTTTATTTATCTTTTTTTATGTTTGACAACTATTTTTTAYAAAGTATACAATATATCAGCTCTAGTTCAACTTAAATGTATGTGTATAAAAATGTTTTACAGTAAAATAAAAAAACTTTATATTAGTGTCATTGGAAATCTGAAAAAGACATCCTCCAGGTTAGAACTACTTTTAGTAGTATATTTTATATAATTTTGTTTTTAGGTTTTAAACAAACCTTGTTAGTTTTTTTGCAAATCTAACAAAAAAAAAGCACCAGATTACAAGACAATTCTTGTTTTTTAGAATGACCTGATTTTAAAATAAACTGCAGCTGTGTTCTACATAAGGTGGAGGAAAAAAACAGATTTACTGTTTGAATTGTTAAATCGTTAATTTTATAAACCAGAATTCTTGATTGATATTTGTCCTTTGGCTAAAATGTTAAATTAAAATTAGATTTTCCTAGAAAAAAATAAATAAATCAATCAGTCAATTCAAGTTATCAGTCAGACTGATCGATGAATCGTGTCGTTTTCCTTCCTGTTGAAAAAGACAAAAAGGCAACACGTACCCCCACATCAAGCCCACTGGATTCCGGTATGTTGTCGTGAATGTTGCAGTAGTAACCGATACCAACGATGGTGAACCGGACCAAAGCCCCCATGTAGAGCGAAAGGATGGGGATGAGCAGAGGCTCCACACACTCCAGGTTGCTGTGCAGGAAAATGGCCACAAACACAATCTGCAGCAAAAAAAAAAAAGACAGCGACGGTCAACACAGACGAAAAGACAAGAGTCTAAAACGTAACGAAACAAAAATCAACCAATACACGGATACCTGGGCCACAACGTCAGAGATGGAAGCAGAGCCTACAATAACGCTGTACTTCTGCTTGAGAAGTATTCCTGCATGAATCCACGCCTAAACAAGCGCAGAGAGCTTAATTAAACACAGCTTGACATGGGGCATTTTTCCTCAACTCCTAGCTCATGAAAGAGATGAGCGTACATTTCAAATCAGTATAACCAGATTCAAACCCGACTATTTGCAGATTTATGCGGCAGATCTGACCACTCACCATCGCGTCCAGCAAAGGAAACGCAGCCAGGTACAGGAACGCCCTCCTCGTCTTGAATCCAACAGCTTCATCCACTTGGTGGAGGTCATTAATAATGTAGTATCCTAAATCTGTGTAAGCTATAAAAATACATTAAGCAGCATTAAAACAAAATCTCCATTTGAAACTGAATTTTTTTTGATGCGCCAACACAAACCCGCGGTTCATATTTCAGGATACGGGCGTCGTCACGTCTTAAAAAGCGTACCTATCAAGATGTGGAAGATAAACGCCACCAGCCCGGCCACCAGCATGCAGAGCACGGCCTTCTTCCGGTCCCGCTTGCTGTTAACGAACACCAGGCCCACGTTCTTGAAGTCGCTCATGGGGCCAGTGAAGAACTTCATCAGGGAGTACGCCAAGCCATAGCTGGCCAGCATTTCCACCGTGTCCTCCTTGACCCTGGCTATGCCTCTGTTGAGAGCCTGGAGGAGACGTTACAGGGTGGGAGCAGACACAGAGATAAGTTCAGCACAGGGGTGACTCTGCTTTTGTTATCTCGGAGAAGACTGCTGGTTCTCTGTCTGTGCATTTCAAAGAAAGAAATTCCAGTGTCACCTTCAGCTGCTTTCAAACCACAGCTGAGTTATTTCCACTGACTCTGGAGAAGCACAGCTGTCTTCCTCATATGCTGGACTGTGTTCTATTTATACCACCTAACAGAGCGATTACATAAGAATAATCCCGACATCTGCAAGCCTCAGTGTTTTTATACATTCTCACCATGATGTGATCAGGGTTCCTCTGATTAGAAAAAAGAAAGCACCGGAAAACAGGAAGTTTAAATTATGACAGAAATGTCCATGTTTTCTAATACACTGAGAAAATAAAAGACAGGTAATGTAAGGTAGAGTTAGTTAAAAATTTACTGCATTTAAACACAGCCGTGACAACCTTACTGCTTGTAAAAAACAAATATAAAACAGGCCTGAGTGGGGAGTCCGTCCGGCTCTTCCTCTCTAAATAACGTATAAATCCTATAGGAAGCAGCTAAAGCTAAYCTAATGTAAATATGCGTTTATTTAGGCCGAGCTGCTCGGTGCCAGTTTGATATCAGTGTTTATTTATTTATTTATATTTTCCGACACTTCTCTTCACACAGGCGGAATAAAAAACGGGAAAAAATATCGCGCTGAGCAGAAACGTTACCTGTTCCCCGAGGTCGATGGCAACATTGGTGATAGCCAGCGGCACCAGAAAGCGGATGAGAGGCCAGTAAGGGCTGAGAGATGGAAACTCCACCATAGTACGAGCCGGGATGACAGAGCCAGAAGCATCTGCCTCGGTCTTGATTGATTAAGTGGTGAAATCAGAGACTAGCGGCGGTGTGATAATAACGCAGCCGGAGCACCTGCGTCAAGTGAAGGCGGCTCGCGCCCTGTCGCGGCGAGGCGTCGCGAAACCTCGGTGCCGTTGCCGAAAAGATCCGAAGGTCAAAGGAGGTTTTTCAGAGCGGGGCATCTTTCCTGCGAATCATCTCGGAGGGGGGCGGCCCGGTGGCGGAGCCGCGGGGTGTTTCCATTCAGGAAGCGTCCGCCGGTGAGAAATGGACAGATAGTGATTTTTTTGGTTTGAGCCGCAGGTCCGTTTTATTCGGTGCCTGTTCGGSCAGTCCCGGGATGTGGGCGACCCTCCCAGAGGCTGGAAGCCGTCGCGACCAGCATGTGGGCCTGGCAACCCGGGGTTGTGTCGAAAATGGGACCTTCCAGAAAGTGAGCAGCCTCCGCGGGAGCGCGCACAGCCTGTTGACGCTGTAGAGTTATTATTAAAAAGATTATTTTAACAGCATAATATTGTGCGTTTTTTTGTGATCATTTTTACCTATCTGCGTTTGTTTTATTATGCTTTGTTTTTATGTATTTATTAGCAGTAATGAATTGGTATATCCTTCTCATTCCTTAACTTGTGTTTTTTTTTAATAAATTTTCTTTTTTTCTTAATTGTATGGAAGAGGATTTAGGGCCATTAAAAAAAAGAATTCTGAGAAAAAAAAGTCTTTAAAAAAGTCAGATTTATGACTTTTTATTTTTTTGAGTGACCCTAATCCTCTTCCGTAGAATTTAATCTTATTTTAAATTAGTTTTTATTTATTTCCTTTTTTTTGTGTCAAAATGTTTAAAACCTTGAGTTCATAATTGAGGTATGAAGAAATTCTCTTTGAACTATAAAAAACATCTCAACATCATTGTTAGAGCGGATAAAATCATCCTTATTTAAGGCTTTTTTACGGCTTTACTGCAGAAGAGGGCGCGCGCGCGCGCGTTCTTACGGAGGCTGGTCTTTGATAGGTCAGCACTTTTCAACACAACGCCCGTTGTGACGTCACCACCATGTTTAAAACCACACGCCACCCAGTGTGTTTCCAAGACATAAAATAAAATAAAAACCGAGCAGAGACGGCAGGAAATACTAACAGAATTGCTCTGAACAACAAGGAATAGTTTAGACGATAACGGTTTGATAAAATGAAATAAAAAATACATTAATGAACTTTGAGTTCCAGACACGAGCATCTCTGGAACCAAATATGAAACGTTTATGATCCTGCTCCAAAGTACTTTGGTCCCATAAACAGAAAGTTACCTTTATCCTGGAACCTGGAGTTCTGAATGTGGATTAAACAGACAAGAAGAGGGAAATTTGGTCAATACTGACACCTGGTGGCCAAAAACATYCATTTTTTTTATTTCAGATATTTTCAATTAGCATTATTTTCATTTATCTAGAACTAAAGTAACTCTTCAGAATTTTAAATGTCATGTTTTTATTAAATGTTTTGATTATTTTGTTTAATTTGTTTTTTTATCTGCGTTTTATTTATTTGTTACTTAGTTGGTTAATTATCTAATATTTATACAAACATTTATTCAAATGTATTTGGGCTATTATTGTTGTTGCTGTTGTTGTAGGATTTTTTAATGATCATGTTACATGACTGTTACCTGAATAAACTGTTGAAACAGTATCATGCTTTATTTACTTCTAGTCACAACTTGGATGTTATAGATTCAAATGTTAATCCCACCCACTTTCATTTCAATTGAAATGTTTCCATGGTTGTTAATAAACCTCCTGCTACATTATTTCTTTTGTCCATTTTATTTTCTCAGTTTGAAACCTATTTTTATACGTTCAAGTCATGAGAAAATTCTAAACACTTTTCTGGAAACTGAAAGTGTCTTTCACACTTACCTAAATGTTGATGTTGTTTTATCTTGTTTGTGCTGTTTTGCATTGCTGTGACTCCAGATAATTGTTTGAATACATTTGACTGGCAAAATAAAAAAGGCCTCTTTAGATGTTTAATAGGAAAACAGGAATAGATGGAGCTGATTCCTAAATTTTGCCTGTTTATTTAAAAAAAATCAGAGATAAGAATAAAGTACAGCAAATCCTGCCCTCTAGTGGTCACATTCGGTACCACAGTATGTCGCTTCCCAGCTCCAAATGTCAGTTTTTCTTGGTTGCTTTGATAGAGCTGTTTAACTCAAACTCCACATTTTCAAAACAGTGAATACACAGGCCTAAACAGTAGCATGGARRGTCAAAGAGACACGTTTTGTTTGTAAAAGGCTGTAATCGTGCCAAAACATTTAAAATATGAAACAAAAGCCAATARTGGCATCAAACAACATTAGCTCTTCCCATCACTTTATACATTGTAATGGAGAACAGTACACAACAGTCAGTGCACCATTYCTTGTCATTGCATCGCTTACATTGTTACATCYCTTTATTTGTTATCTTTTTACATGGACTAGATCAAAATTTCCTCCTTGCAGAGAACTGGATTCAGAATCTTTGATGCAAATTTGATTGATTCCATGATATATATTTTTTTTTTTCAAACTGTGGCTGAAAATTAAAATACTGTAAGTATTACAGGAAACACTAAATATAAACGCAGTAACAGTAGCCCAAATTTCTTCTGAAAATGGAGCCCTTCTGACCTGCACCTCACACACTGACTCTTCTGCCTCTAACTCTCAGTCATGTCTGGACCTGGTAAAGACGTGGCACCGGTAAAGGCCTGCAGATTGATTGCCAAGTGAAGAGTGTCAAACAGGAACARGTAGTTAGTTTCTGTTTGGTTAGTAGAGCTAKAACAATGGAGTTTGGACTCCTGCTGGAAGAATGTGTGAAKAATGTGTCAATCCAATGAGAAAGAGTTAACACATCTGCAAGAGGTGATTTCTGCTCTGCTGAGATAGTGATGATGAAAACTCAGCAGGTCAAAGCAGTCATGAAAAACTGTGGTGTTTATGTGAACTCTTATAGAAGTTGGGGCAGGAGGGAATCAAAAAGATGCTTCATACTTTCTTGGAGCCTTTTTGAGAATCAAATTTTTAAGAGTTCTTCATTTGTTCTGATTTGTTTGTTTTTATCTCTTTTAACATTTTTGTTTCGTCTGGTTTATTGAATTGTTAAACATTTCTGATGTAATCATCTACCACGTCAACACTTTCTCAATCTTTTACCAAGTAAACTATTAGCAAGCATTATTACTATGATTTACATCAGATAGTTCATGAATTTCTAATTATCAGAAACTAAAGTTCAAGTTCAAGTTTATTTATATAGCGCCAAGTRACAACATARGTTGTCTCWYGGTACATAAAAAAGAACAATCTWAAGAAGAAACCAGCAGYCTGTGTTGAATCACGTCATCACAGTCTCCCATCCWGAGCAAACYGTGGAGAGGAAAAACTCCCCCAGTAGCATCTGGAAATATCCAGAAATGTCTGGAAACGTCTGGAAATGTCTGGGAACATTTAAAGGCAGAAACATTTTTGCCCACTGGTGGAATGACTGTCAAAGAGATAAAAGTGAAGCTTTTGGTGATGAAAAATTAAATGGCCAGTCCTTAATGAAAACATGTACAATGTGATGATTCTTGTTCAGTTTTGTGTTTACAACACGCAATAAAAAAGGATCAAAAATTCTAGGTGCTCACTGTAGTGACATGAAGACTTTAAATACYTGAAGTAAGTAACAAAAACAAATTTTTCTCTCATATTGATGGTTATCCATCCATCCATTATCCCACTGTGCGAGGGACACCCTGGACAGGTCGCAAGTCCACATAGAGACAACTCGGTCACTCTTACAGCTAGGGAAAATTTAGCCTGACATAAGAGCATATTTTTGTACTGATACTTGTTTACTCAGTTTGTTACAAATAAAGTGTTTTGTTTACATTGAATGCGTACCTGCATTTTAGAACTGCGTATCAATTTATGAAGCAAACTGGAGTAAAGTCTTTCAAACTGCACCATCTGATATATCCATCCATCCATCCATCCATCCATC